TCGGATGCATCCATTGAGGGCCTGATGGTGAAAGAGTGAAAGATCAAGTATGACATCATTGGTCTGACCGAGACAAGAAGGCATCAATCACATCACATCGTTTTCGACACTGGGGAAGAACTGTTCCTCGGAACATGTGACAAAAGAGGCATCAGTGGTGTTGGTGTCCTTGTCAACATAACCCTTAGTAGACATTAGGTAATCCAAATCAGCAAAAGATCTTTCTAACTAATTATCTAACAACTGAGAGACATCACAGTCCACTCAATCATTCTAAAGGAAAACTTTCAAATGCCATGAGGATGGTACAGCCTCTACAAGAGGCTTATCCATCACCAATAATCAGATATTCCATAGTGGAGACCAAACTTTTCCACATACTGAACAAGTCTCTTAGTTATTCCCCTAAATTTAAGATGCACCTAATAGTTGATATTTAGAGATGCAATAAATATGGGCTGGAGTGATAGTAATAGTGGTTAGGGCACTTGTCTGGCATCATGTCATCCTCAAATAGTGAGACTTGACTTCTTTCTTTGCTATCTGGATGCCCTTTATATCTCTTTCTTGCCTAATTGCTATTGCAAGTACATCCAATATTAGATTGAATAGAAGTGGTGAAAATGGGCAACTCAGGGGGAAGGGTTTCAATATTTGTGGGTTTGTGGTGGGTTTGTGGTAGACTGTAGGATAACACTGTTTTTGTCCTTCCTGTATAACCTCAGGTAGTTTAGGTTTATTGGGTTGCTCCCATTCCTCTCTGTTTATTTGTAACTTCTTTCTTTGTGCTTTGTTGACTTGCAAATATTGTTTTTTCTCTTCTCCCTAAGTCCTTTGCATAGTTTATTCAGAGCAATGCCCTTTTGTATAGACATAAGAGGACAATTAATATTACGCTTTTGTAACTTGGGATTTAATTGGCTTCGAATATTATTCATTCTCGGGCATCTGCTTTCTCAACTTAAGCCTCAGTTGCCCTCACTTCCTAGCACTACCAAAAGCAGGGTCCCAACGAGGGACTGGATGGAACCAGGGCAAGAGGTAAGCTATGAGCTACCCTGTCATCGAGATGGGCCTGGTCAAAGTGCCACAATTCTTAACTATAAATTAAGAGTTTGATCATGGACAATGCTGTCATGAACCAAAAGTAATGACGAGATTAGGACCCTGCTAGGGATAGGAGAGACAAATCTGGCCTGAGTACTGTAGTCTGAGATCGGGATGACCCCAGGAGAGCATTTCTAAAAGCTTAATGCATCTTTTACTGTGTCCATAAAAAATGATTAATATTATGAATGCTTATATGTTTGTTGAACAAGGAAAGGAGAAACACACCCATGGGATTCCACCCTTGAGTGGTTGTCCTGCTGAAAGAGAATCTGTCCTAGAAGCAGCATCCCCTGAGGGGAAGAACTTTAACCTTATTGCTTGTGACCCCACCTATGTGTAAGCCCAGCCCCTCAAGGTTTTGGGGATTTAACTAGACTGTAAGAGTGGCTGGGGGTAATACCACCCCTGGGAATATATCCCAGAGAGGCAAAAAAGTATAGTCAAAGTGACATCTGCACGTGTTTGTTCATTGCAGCACTCTTTACAATAGCCAGAATCTGGAAAAAACCTGAGTGCCCAAGAACAGATGACTGGTTAAAGAAACTTTGGTACATTTACACAATGTAACAATGTAACAAACTCCATGTTATTGAGTCTTCTAACAGTACTATGTAGCAGTTAGAAAAGATGAAGTCATGAAATTTGCATACAAGTGGTACTACCTGGAAAGTATCATGTTAAGCAAGATGAGTCAGAAAGAGAGGGATAGACATAGAAAGATTGCATTCATCTGGGGAACATAAAGTAACAAAATAGGAGACTAACACCTAAGAGTGGCCGAGATTAGTACCAGGAATTTTGCTCCAAGGCTTGGAGGCCAGACACACATGCTAGGGGAAAAGGGAGCTCAGAGAGAGAAGGAAGCACCAAATAAAGGGTGTTGGGAGGATCCTCCCAGGATGGGAGATGCATGCTTAAAGTAGACTATAGACCAAACATGATTGCCACTCAATGCCTCTTTTGCAAACCACAACACCCAAAAGGAGAGAGAAAGAACAAAAGGGAAAGAACAGAGGCAGAGTGGGATGGGGGATGGGGTGGGGGGGAGGGATACTGGGACCCGTGGTGGTGGAAAATGGGCACTGGTGGAGGGATGGGTACTTGATCATTGTATAACTGAAACCCAAGCACAAATGTTTGTAAGTCTACAACTGTACCTCATGGTGTTTCACTAATAAAAATTAAAAAAAAAAAAGAGTGGCTGGGAGATCGGGATCCAGACCCAGAGCCAGAAGGAGAAGGGGGGTGGGCATTCCAGATCGGGGGCCGAGAAAGAAGGAGAGAAAGAGAGACAGGAGTGAACAGGGATGAGAATGGAATAAATTACATCTGATCAATCAATCGGCTTGGCCCTCACTTCCTCCGCCATCTGCCTCATGGCCCAGGCCGCCCCGGCTGTGGGAGCGGCCTGGGCCCCCCAGAACCTGGGCAGCCAGGGGAAGAGCCATTGGGGCCACACCCTGGCCGCCCTCAGAGTTTTTTACAGTAGATGGCTTTGATTATGTTGAGGTAAGTTCCTTCAACCCCCATGTTATTGAGTTTTTATCATGAATGGGTACTGCGTCTTGTCATTTTCTCTTTTTTTTCTATTTCTTTTTCCATTTATATTTATTTATTTATTTATTTTTGTTAAATTTATTTATTGAATCATCATGAGAAAAGTTACAAAGTTTTCAAGTTTAAGTCTCAGTCATACAATGATCAACCACCCATCCCTTCACCAGTAATTATTTTTCACCACCAAGAACACCAATATAGCCCCCCTCCCAACCCTCCCAATACCTGTGAGGCAGATGATTTCTACTTAACTTTCTCTCTACTTTGATTACATCCATTATTTCGACAAGAGATGCACCATTATCATTTGGAATTTCCCCCCAACAATCAGAACTGCTGAAAAGGCATTGTGAAATAATTTGTTTTCTATTGCTGGTTATGAAAACCATATGATTTTTGGATTTCTGATATTTTACTAATTAAGTCTGGAAGGATTTCTGCCAAGAGCCAGATAATTATGAGACTGGTTTGTGTGCCTCTGGTGCCATGGCCATGCCAGAGAGCTGCTCGTGGGGGGCAACTCGTGGCCATGGTAGGGTGTGAAGGATGTGCCAGTTCCAACCCCATCCCATGTGGCTCCAGTTGCTCCGTCACTGCCGGCTCATACATGGCTGTCCAATAAGCTCTGAGGTGGCGGCCACTGTGCTGGTGGGGGTGGAAAAAGGCGGAAGAGACAGACACCCTTTCCCTGCCGGGGAGGCATGGTGAGTCTTGTCATTTTCATAAATGAAAATTTGAAATCTTCAAGTGTAATTTCATTACATAGTATTCCATTGTATTTGTCATTTTCATAAGAGAATGAAGGTGAAGATGTAGATCTTCTGCTCTTAACCTCTTTAACATTTTTAATGAGCCAAATAATTCTAGGATGTGGGACTGGCTTTTATACAAAAATCTGTGTCAGATTTTTGTCAGGATGGTAGTACAGCAGGTGGGGCACTAGCCTTTTACATAACTGACCTGGGTTCGATCTCCTGTGGTCCCCTGAGCACCACTAGGAGTGATCCCTGAGCGTAGAGTACCACTGGGTTTGGACCCCAAACAAACAAACAAACAAACAAACAAAGTCATTATAGCGTGAGACTACACAGGCTGTACATGGAAGGTGCTTGGCCTGTAGCTGGCTGAGCCCCAAGCCCCACCACGAGTGATCTCTCAGCACAAAGCTGGGAGTAAGACTTGGGCACCAGGGGGTATATCCCCCAAGCAAACCAAAAACATCAATATAATCTATCAGAACAACAGAGTACTGGATAAAAATCACATCATCATATTAACTGATTTTGAAAAAAAAAATTCAAAAATTCAACACTCAAAAAAAATTCTCAGAAAGGGCGAACCAGAGGAGAAACTCCTCAAATGATCTCAGACAGGAGGTCCTTGAAGATACATAGTTTAAATTCTACATCCACAGTGGAAAGCTTTGACACAACAGGTAAGATCAAACATGGCCCAACACCCCTGATCCCCAGCAACCCATATGATCCCTCAAGTAATTCCTGAGGTCACAGCCAGGAGTAAACCCCGAGCAGCCAGGTGTAGGCTGAAAAGAAAAAATGAAAAGAAAAAAAAGGAAAAAGATCAAATGGGTTATAATTCTAAGGAACATAGTAAATTAGTAAATATATTCAGCTTAAAATACTGTAGCACTGTCCTCTGGCTGTTCATTGATTTGCTCAAACAGGCACAGTAACCTCTCCATTGTGAGACTTGTTGTTATTGGTTTTGGCATATCGAATATGCCTCGAGGAGCTTGCCAGGCTCTGCCATGCAGGCGGGATACTCTCGGTAGCTTGCCAGGCTCTCCGAGAGGGACGGAGGAATCAAACCCGGGTGGGCCGCATGCAAGGCAAACGCCCTACCCGCTGTGCTATCGCTCCAGCCCAGCTTAAAATAATATTATTAAAATTGTATCTTGGCTGGATAAACCCCAATCTTATGGTTCATTGTTGACTGCTGTGTTTTATAATTCTTCAGAGAAAAAGTAAGGGCAAATTACTTGTTTAAAGGAAAAGTTTCTGGGGACACTGGTGGTGGAAAATGTACAGTGGTGGGGAGATGGGTGTCAGAACATTGAAACCCAATCATGAGCAGCCTTGTAACCATGTATCTCACAGTGATTTAATAAAATAAGCTAATTTAAAAATGGAAAAGTTTCTATCACCTTCTTTAATTTTTTTGAAGACAGTCATCATAAATTAACTGAATAAGTTTTAAAAATAAAATTTGGAAGTTTAAATACATTTCTTTTTATAATGTTATAAAAGCATTTTAATAAAACTTTATCAATTTTATAGTACTGTTTGAAAAAACATTTAAAGTGCATTTCATACCATTTCTATTTCTTGATCTTTAGCAATCAGTTGTCGATTAAGAAGTTCTTTGCTGGAGTCAAGTTTAATACAAAGCTCCCTCGTGGAGGAGAGGTCTGCAAGGGCAGAAACTTTTTCAAACTGAACCTTCTGAAGCTCCTCTTCCATCTTCATGAGAGACTTGTGTAAGGTAGCAATCTGAGATTTGTAGGATCTTTCTGCATTTAAGTGCTGCATAAAAAATTATCAAATATTTTTAACTTAAAAAACCACAAAATAGAAAACAAAGTGTATAAATCATTGATACTATAGGATACGTTTAATGATATAGGTTATAGGAACACTGTAGTATGTACAAAACACTCTGGAAAGATAATTTTAGCTTTCAATCTATTATGCATAAAATACACGTGGTAAGGGGGTCCTTGGTCACTTTTTTAATTTCTTAGAAAAATCTGTTCTCAACTTAAAATTCTTAGGGTAGGGGCAGGAGTGATAACAGAGTGGGTGGGGTGCCTGCCTTGCATGTGTCCAGTCTGGATTCAATCCCCGGCACCCCATGTGGCCCCCCCCAAACTCACCAGGAGTGATCCTTAATTGCAGAGCCAGGAGTAAGCCCTGAGCACTGCCAGATATGGTCCAAAAAGCAAATAAATAAATCAATAGAATTTTCAGGCTTTATATATGAGAACATCTCAGGCTATATATTTTGCCTATACATGCTGTTTCAATTTTAATATAAATACTAATGCTCTATTTATAAATAATATACATATATATTTTAGGAAGAAAAGATTTTATTTTTTGAATTTTTAGAAGTGGTTATTTTTTTTCAGTAAAAAATGAAACATCAACAACACATTGAATCACTGGAAACATACACTGAAGAGGAAGAAAGTCTCTGAGCGTGTCTCATTACACAAGCAGGAATCACTTTGCAAGTGTCCCTCAGTTATGTACCCAGGCTCTGAAAACCCTGTTTGATGTACTTTACCTCGTAAAAGTGCCACAAATCACGGGAGGCTAAGATGGGATCTGATCCTTGCATGCTCACACATGCAAGGCCAGTACTCAATGACTAAGTTGCATTCCCAGGCCCAACATATGCGTTTCTGGGTTTTGAGGGCCACCACACTTGCTAGTACTAGACACTGCTCTGGCCCAGGAAGGTAGGCCCCATCCTTACACACTTTCATAGTAGGACTATCCTTGAGGGCTGTGGGGGAGAATGTTGAAACTCTGGTGGAGGGACTGGTGTAATGACTTTGTAAAATAACAACAATTTCAATACTATTGCAAACAATGATACTTGGATTTAAAAAAAAAAAAACTATCCTTGAAGTAGCTTTGTGATATGCAGGGCACATGGCTGGCTTTTTAAAATGAACAGCTGTGCATTGGCATTATTTAAATCTGAAAAGATACTATCACCTTCCTCTACAAAAATCAGCAAGCTATAGTTCCTCAAGTACATCAGCTTCACTGTGTTTTACATACATCGGTGATGCACTCCCAGCGGTTCTTCTGATCTACTGGATTTGTGCTCAGAGTTGCCCCTGGCAGTGTTCTGGGACCCCATGGTGTCAAACATTGAATCCAGAACCCCTGCACGCAGAGCCTGTCCTCCAGCTTGTTGGCAGGGGGTGAGAAACTAGAGGAAATGGTGGCGGGAAAGTCACACTGTTTTGTGGGACTAGTGTTGGAACAGAGTGCCCAAAACAACTGTATTATGAACAACTTTGTAAACCATGGTATTCAAATCAAGTTACTAAAATAAATAAATAAAAATGTAATAGACTGTTCAAGTTACAGAGTAAGTTACCTACTAAAGGGGAACCAAAGTTGTAAACAGGAAAACAGCAAGCTACCATTTACAGTACATTTATACAATCTAAGTTGCACATATAATTTATGGAAAGTCAAACAAAACTTTTTAAATATATAAGGAGTATGTTCTAAAACCATTACGAGTCTTACCTGTTCGACCTCTCTATTAAGAGCATCTACTTTTTCTTTTAACCTGTTAGCCTCTGCTTCAGCAGTGATAAGTTCCAATTTGAGGGTATTGTTATCTGCCTCTAATTGACGGGCCTTATTTTCCCAATTTTCAGCATCATCATTTGCTTTTCGGAGCTGGTCTATCATCTGCCGGTTTTCAGATTCCTAAATAATAAGGTATCAAAGTAGTAAAATGTTCTAGATATGATGCAATTTAAACATTATTTGTTCAGGCCATTGGGAATGTGCTTGCCATAAGGAACATTTGTAGTGTAACCTTGAGAAATATAATCCAAGTCTTAGAAAATTTATTACATTGTAATTAAACAAGAAAGGACTAGAGTCACACCCAACTGTCTAGGAAGGCAAACTATGCTTCTCTTTAGGGTCTGGTTTTAAAACTTCTTCTATTTGTCTCCTTTTCAATGTATCTAAACACTGACTACCTGCTGGCCTGGCTTCTAAATTTCTGTAATGGCCTGACCTCTTGGAATCTGCATTCCTTTTCTTCTGAAAACTTTTTTTCCCTGAATTATAATATCTTTATTTTGTTTTGGATTATAGGATTTCAGGGTTTTTTCTTCATACCACTATGTATGTATTCTATTCACCATATCTCCTACCCAAATCATACTACCACTACAACAGACCACTCTATTCATTCTTCCCACCACCCCCATACCATCACTTTTCCTTCAGAAATCACCATAGTTTTCATCAAGTCTTCGAAGTTTTGTTGCATTGTTAGTTTGTTTTAGTTATACATATTCCACATAAGTGATACTACTGTCTTTCATGTCCCTATTTCATTGAGCATAATCACCTTATTTATCAAGTTTGTTCCAAAAGACTTAATATACATTTTTTATCTCAGAACTTCCTTATGTCAATATGCAAAGTCTTCACATAAGTTTTCATATTATGTTATTATTTCATAATTTTAACTGTCAATGGGAATTGATTCTATGCTTTCACTATTGTAAATAATGCTATCCACAAGGTAGAAATAACCTTTCAAATTAATGTTTTGATATTCTTCAGGTAGCCGAAGACCTCCAGGACCAGCCACCACCATGCTGAGACCACTCTCCGCACACCTGAAGGTACTGGCAGAGGGACAAAGCCACGCGGGTTCCGGGGCCGAGATCTCCAAGCCTACTCGGATTGGAGTCGAGCATCCTCCACCCAGATCCTCCAAATTCCAGTAGGCGGGGGTCACACCCACCACCTGGCCCCCTGGCGCTGTTTAATCCCATCAACGGCCAAGACTCAGAAACTATAAAATCCAGCTCCCGGAACTGCGCGGCCACATTCGCGGCCGCGCGACATCTTATCAGGACATCTTTTTATGACATCTTATTATCTCATTCCTACTTTGGACAAACTTGCAGGCTATCGAATGTAGCCTGCCCACAGGGCAGAGTCTGGCAAACTCCCCGTGGCGTACCCAATATGCCAAATACCAGTAACAATGATGGGTCTCATTCTCGTAAAGAGCCTTGAATATAATCTCAGGGCTAGGATGAAAGAGACGTTACTGGGGCCTGCTCGAGGCAATCGATGAATAACAGGATGATGAATGAATGAATTCTTCAGGTACTTGCCTAGAAGAGGCATTTTTGATGCACGATTTCCATTTTAAGGACTTTCCATGTCATTCACCACAGAAACTGCACCAATTTACAGTCCTAACAAAAGTGTTCAAGAGATCCTTTTCTCCATACACTCGTAAACACTAGCAGTTTCCAACCTTTTTAACATCAGCCATTCTAGCCAGTGTAAAGTGATATCTCACTGTGATTTTGATTTATATTTCCTAGATAATAATTGATTTTGAGAATGGGGGGCATGCCCAGAAGTGCTCTGGAACTTACTGGCGAGGAGCTGTGGGGTCTTCCCAGTATTACTCAGGGACTGTGGAGTGTTTAGGACCAAACACGAGCCTCGGTGCGGAGCATGCGCGCCAATCATTCAACGCTAGCTCTCCAGTCCACATTTGGAGTATTTTTCACATGTTCATTAGCCGTCAGTATTTCCTCTTTGGAGAAGTATTTATCCAAATCATTTGCCCATTTTCATTTGTGTTATTTGTTATTCTATTGTGAAATTACAAACTGTGAATATTAATTCAAATATTCAGATGTACCTGCCAGATGTACTATGTGAAAAGAGCTTCCCGAATTGCTACCTAGATTGTGGTTCTTAATTTTTCTTTTTGTTCTGTTTGGGAGCCACACTGGGAAGTGCTCAGGACTTACCCCTGGCTCTGCAATTAGAAATCATGCCTATCAAGGCTCTGGGGCACCATATGTGATTCTGGGATCAAACCTGGGTTAGCCACATGCAAAGAAAACATATCATCTGCTGCATTACCTGTCCTGACCAAGTTGACTTTTGCGTTTTGTTTGTTTTCTATAGGAAGCAATTTACATTTGGTGTAGTTTTATTTGCTCATTCTTGCATTTTTTTTCTTGACAATAGTTACATCAACAAGTATATTGCTGAGGCCCTAGAGTTGTGTATCATTTGTTTTCTTCTAAGAATTTTTATGATTTCAGGTTGAATATTCATGTCATTAATATATTTTGAGCTAAATTTTGTGTCATGGTTAAACAGTGATCTAGTTTTATTTTGTGTGTGGCCATCTGCAACACCATTTTTTGAAGTGACTTTTCTTTATTCATTGTCCGTTACTGGCTCTTGTGTCATGACTTAGATGTCCTTCTATTTGTGACTTTACCTCCACTGCATTGGGCTTGTCTTATTCTGATGTCATACTACTTTGATCATAGCTATTTGTAATACTGCTTGCAATCAAGGAGCATGGTGTCTACATATTTCCTCTTTTCTCACAGAATTGCTTTGGGTCTTTTGTGGATCCCTACAATTTTTTAAAATTTTGTTCTCTTCTTTTTTTTTGAGGGGTAGGGATGGTCTTTGGGTCACACCCAGTGTTGTTCAGGGCTTACTCCTGGTTCTGCACTCAGGGAACTTGGAGGAGCATGGGATGTCAGGGTTTGAACTCATGTTAGCCACATGCAAGGCAAGTACCCAATTTGCTGTACTATTTCTTGGGCTCCTGTTCCCTTTTTTGAAAAAAATACTATAGGCAGAGGCCCAAGAGATAGTACAATGGGTGGGGCTTTTACCTTGTACTATGCCAACCTGGGCTCTTCCGCAGCACCACACATGACCCCCCCAAACCCGCAAGGAGTGATCCCTGAGCACAGAGCCAGAAATAAGCCTTGAGTACTGCCAGGTGTGCCTCCCCCAAAAAAGAAAAAAGATACCATTGTTATTTTGATAGAGATTCTACTTAATCTGTAGATTACTTTAAGAAGGCTATTTATAACGCCGGAGCAATAGCACAGCGAGTAGGGTGTTTGCCTTGCACACAGCCAACCCAGGCTCGATTCCCAACATACCATATGGTTTAATTCCCAGCATCCCTGCACTGTCAAAAGTAATTCAAGAGTGCGTGAGCCAGGAGTAGCCCCTGTGCATCCTGGGTGTGACCCAAAAAGCAAAATAATAATAATAATAATAATAAATATTAATAAATATTAATAATAAATAATAATTAAAAAGGCCATTTACATTCCTCAAAAAACTAGAAATTGAGTTTCCATATGACCTAGCAATACCATTTCTGAGAATATACCTCCAGGATACAGAAACTCACAGTAAAAATTATATCTGCACTCGTATGTTCATTGCAGCACTGTTCACAGTAGCCAGAATCTGGAATCAACCAGAGTGCCTGAGAACAGACAACTGGTTAAAGAAACTATGGTATATCTACACAATAGTATACTATATAGCTATTAGAAAAAAATAAAGTCATGAAATTTGTCTATAAATGGATGGACGTGGAGAGTATCATGCTAAGGTAAGTAAGTCAGAAGGACAGACATAGAATGACTGCACTCATTTGTGGGATATAAAAAACAAACATAGTATGAAATTAACACCTGATGACAGTAGAAACAAGCACCAGGAAGAATGGTACACAGTTGGAAGCCTGCCTTAAGGGCTGAGGAAGACGGTTGTTGGGATAAAGAAGGAACAATTATGAAAATGATGTTTGAAAGGAATTGCTCTGAAGAGAGATGTGTGCCGAAAGTAGGCCAAGGACCAAATGTGATGGCCTCTCAGTATATGTATTGCAAACATTAATGCCCAAAAGAGAGGAGAGAGAGAGAGAGAGAGAGAGAGAGAGAGAAAGTTCCTGCCATAAAGGCAGGCTTGGAGAGGGGGAGTGGCAGAGGAGGGATACAGGGGATACTGGTGGGAACTGTACATTGGTGGAGAGATAGGTGTTGGAACACTGTATGACTGAAATTCAATCATGAAAGCTTTGTAACTATCTCAGTTTTTTTTTAAAAAAGCAAGTATATGCTCAAGAAAAATATTTTTTAAAAAACAAAGGCTATTTACAAATGTTTATTCTTCATTTCCGTTAACATGGAATATAGTTCTATTCTTTGTATTTTATTTCTTTTAAAAATAGCTTACAGTTTTCAGTGCAAAGGCCTTTCATCTGTTTTATTAAGTTATTACATGGCATTAGTTTTTTACTTGGGGCTGAGGGGGTGCAGAGTCAAAGGATTACTCAGAAGCCCAGGGGCCACTACTTGCAATTCTCAGGCAACGCAGGCCAAGAGTGCATTGCTGCCCAGGTCCTGCAGTGCCCAGCAGTACTCAGGAGCCTCCGGTGATTGGGGCTTCCCAGACTGTACCCAACAGTGCTCGAGGGACCATGTGGTGCCCAGGGTCCAACCAAGACCAGTCAACATGCAAGGCATATGCCTTAACACTTATACTGTTTCTCTAGCCTGGCATTTTATTTTTTTACAATATTATAAATGAACTTTTTTTTATTACTTTTCCTCTTCTTGTTTGCATATAGAAATGTAATAATTTCTGTTTATTAATTTTATGCTCTGCATTTTACTGAACTCAGTTGTCATAAATTTTTGTAGACTTCAAAGGTCTTATATATATCTTAGTATGTTATTTACAAATGTTGATAGCTTTATTTCTTTTCCTATTTTCATTCCTCATAACTCATTTCCTTAAAATTGAAACTATTCTTTTTTTTTTTTTTTTTTTTTGCTTTTTGGGTCACACCCGGCTATGTACAGAGGTCTACTCCTGGTTCATGC